TCATCATTCAGGCATTGGGATATCAACCAAGAATTCCAATGGGCGGCGGAGACTGCGGGAACTGTGGGATAGCTACCCACAGTGCAACGCTCCGGAAGTCGACGCTAGCCTCGGTACTGTGGACACGGTCCGCCGACTTCATGCACTTAGAGCATTTTATGTGGGGACACACACAATCGGCTGTATACAACCGATTTCTATAAAACCGGCTTCTAATTTTGTAGTGTAGACATACCCTAAGACATCCTTCCCAATTGCCTGGGATTGTTTGCTGGAGTCTCAGAGAACTGGCCTTCTTGCTTTTGCTCCCATCTATCAGAGTCCTCATTTTTTTGCAACATGCAGCACAGAGAAAGGCTAGTCCAGTGAATAGGGAGCTAGCCCTGAGAGACATGGGTTCTACTCCCCCCACCCCATGGACTTCCAGTATGACCGCAGGCCAGTGCCTTATGGACAGCATTTCAAAGGCTTTTAGGCATCCAAGAATGCAGCTAGGCATCTAGTGGGGCTTACAAACCTTTGAAAATCTGACTTTTAGTCCCTCTGTGCCTCAGTGCCCCATCTGTACAATGGGGATAACAGCACTGCTCTACCTCACAGAGGGGCTGTGAGGAGAAATAGATTCTGAGGTGCTCAGATACTATGGTGATGGGGGCCACATAAGTACCACAGGTAGAGAGGGAACTTGTCTATACTACTGCTATCTCTTCTCTGGGTTTTGGCCCCTTCTTTTCACCTATCCCCCTCACATCTCCCTCTTTTCTTAATGTAACCTTAGCTCAAAGAGGGCTTGGCTGTATTTTTTCTGAGTCCCCTGCATTCTGTCTTCACTTTCAGAGCCTTAATTTAATTGCTAGCCCTTTCTTATATTAATCACACTGCCTTTGTTTGTAAACAAAATGCTGACTCCCTGCCCCTGGAGCACAAGGTGAGACCAGCACATCTCCTCGGATGAACTCACATTCCACACTCAGGGCATGTCTACACTGGCAGAGTTACAGAGCCAGGAGTTACAGCGCTGCTCAGAGAGCACTGAAGGGAAACTGCTATTGTGTGTTCACACTGTCAGCTGCCTGCGCAATAGCGTGTTCACACTTGTGGCACTTGGAGCGGTATTTGGAGTGGTTCACTCTGGAATTCTCTGCCTCAGAGCAACTCTTTCTCCTCTC